AAATGCATAATATTGATAAGTAGTTTTGTTTTTTAAGAATTAAAAAGTGAGTCCTAATCCTAAGGGTGGTAAATAACCGCAGAGAAGCTGGCTTGGAGGAGGATTATTTTGCCGTCAAATAGTTTGACTGTGATGGCATGGGTGAATTGTTTATGCTTTGTCTATCAATGGTTGGGCTTTGATGGCATTTCATGGAATCTGAATCCAAAGATAGAATGAGCTTATTGAATCTGAATCATTTCAAATCCCTTATCGAATCTAATTAGGATGAGTTTTTTAACGTGTAAATAAAGTTGAAAAGAACTAAAATTGTGCACTGGAGATTTGAGTGGCAGCCTATTTAATGCTTGTAACCTCTAGATACAACTGGAAACATTTCTAACGCATTGAAATAACAGCTGTAGCCTACGGACTTTCTCTTTACAATCCACCTTAATACCAGAAGTTCTGATTCATAAATAAGTAACTGGATCATCTTATATTGCTAGTATGATCTGAATGAAAGTCCAGCTGAGAAATTTTGACAACTTATATAACAGTGACAATGACAGTTAGATGTTCTCTACACGAGCTCTGACACTTGAGACTTGACTTGGCTCAAAGACTTGTAAGCATCTGTAGTAAACAGTCAAACTTGTTTTAAGGGGAAAATGACACATGGTAAAATTATTACCCAAACAAAATTTTTGTACAAGCTTGAGGTGTTTTCCTTTAGTTGGCTTGTTTACAACTTCTCAGATCATTATGCTTGTTTTCCTTTGCCCTATTGGACTTTTTTGGTGATGTCACTGGAATCCAAGATCTCAGTATTTTTTTTGAGAACAATGTTACCATAAACCATAAAACCAATTACTGTTTAGTTTTACCAGAGACGTTTTATAGAGGAGACACGCCACTCAATCCCATCCCATCCCTCCTACTAGAAAGCCAATAGTCTGCTTTTAACAGCCGAAGCGGTAAACATATTTCAGCTCATCGTGTGGTTTCACTGATGTAAGAATCTACTGTGCATGCGTGGAAGTGGTGACGCATACGTAGTAGAAGTATAACCATTCAAGAAAAATGCTTTTTAAACCTTGTTTTTTGGGGCAAAGTCATCAACTTTTTCAGTGATTATTATTAGATTTTACTACTGATTCTATTCATGTAGTTTTCATGTCCTGGTGACCAGTAAAAGTGCAGTTCTGTCTCTCTCCCCATTCATTCAGATCCTGGTCAGAGCCTGGTCTTGTTAATCTGAAATAGCTGCCCAGAGGCATTCCCAAGATGGCGGCTGAGTGGCATGACTTGCCTATGGACTGGTTTTACTGAAAACACAATTTGAAAGGAAAACAGACTGACACACAAATGGCTTGCAGAGAGCACATTTTTTGCTAATGAAAAAGGACAGGAGAGAAAATGATTCGATAAGAGATTTGTAATTTATGAACCAAGAACCAGCTATCAGAACCCAACCCTATCGCTGTGGTTCTATGAAGACATATCAAGTGATTTCAGACATATTACTCAATATTCTTATTTCCATGGTTATTCAGCAGGTTGAGCTTAGTCACTATAACATGGTAAAGCTAATCCTATCAAATACTGTTAAGTTTTCTGTTAAGACGAGAAGCATTCCAGCTGTGTTTATTCTGTTTATACTAAGGATTAAGAGCCCATGCTGTTAACATGCATACCAGCACGAGGACTGACATTGACAACAATTGAACTGCTAACAGCCACTGTGTTCATATAGAAATGCGGTGAACCTGGCGGTGTTAAAGTTGAACGAGCAGGGGCTACTGGACAAACTGAAAAACAAGTGGTGGTATGACAAGGGAGAATGCGGCAGCGGAGGAGGGGAAAGCAAGGTTAATACACACACAAACACAGACACACACACACACACACTCACACACTAAAACACACACTAAAACACACAAACGTGAGTAACATTGGGTTATCAGGTGTTTAAAAAAAATCTAAAGAAGCAGCACAGTTATAACGCCACATGTGAACACAAAAGGTAATAATGTTAGCACTGCCAAGCTGTAACCTTTCAAAGAAATATAAAAACAAATTATACGTCGTAGATGTTACATAGAGATTGAGCAGTTGCTGATAAGCACCACTAACAGGTAGCGTTGTAGTCTTTGCTGCTTCTTCCAACAATGTGTTGCAATCTGTTTGGTTGAGGTCAGGGTTAGGGCAGGCTTCAGGCACAAGGCCAGGGTCAGTTGACCTCACACCAGATGGCAGCAACAGTGCAGGAGAAGAGCCGTGGATAAAGAGTTTGGCTAAACTCTTTTTATCTATGGCTCTGACCTGGAGGAATACTGCTGCTGAATAAGCAGAAAGGCTTTTCACTGCGGCGCCTCTCATTCTCTGTCTCAGGGGCCAAATAGTGGGGTCCTGACAGCATAAGATTTAATTTTAAACAGCTTTGTCCAATTAATTGTGGTGATAACAGACTAAATGGTCTACATAGTCCTGATGTCCAACATGATAGCGTTTGGCAATAGATGGAGTGATATGATTATAGTCTTTAAATTTAAAGTAATGTGGAAAAATATTGTAAAACCAAGCTTTAATGTTGTGTCATTCGTGACATGAAATTCCTGCTAAACAACAAAACATTAGTGGACCCTGTCTTGGTTGCTAGACCAGAGTGTGAGAACCGCTGCCCCACTAATAACATAAGATAACATTGATAATGATGTTATTTATGTTATTCCCATTGAAGAGTACCAGTTAACCTTGCCGTATTGAAACTGAATGAGCAAGGGACCCTAGACGATGAAAAACAAGTGGTGGTACGATAAAGGAGAGTGTGGCTTCAAGGACTCTACCAATAAGGTTAGTTGTATATGTCTGTGGATCAATCAAACATGCACTGTCTGTTCACACATTTATCATGTACAGTAATCTTAGTTTTGTGTGTATTAAGAAAAGAAAGTATATCTACACTCAAAGATTACAGTAGTCCAATATTTCTATGTGTAAAACTGAAAGAAAAACGTACACAGTATTGATGGTACATGCAGTAAGCTGCATGTACTGAATTGTCAAGGACACCCTCAGGTTAAAACATGATGCTTCAACAGTCAAATGCTGATAAGAATAAAAACAAGTGGTGTCCTGAAAACTGAGTGGAACTTCTTAAGATCAACTCAGAACCATTAAGTCCACTTTTTGGCTGTTGAATATTAAATTTTTCTGTCTGTCTTTTTAACACTAAAGTTAAAGTCTGTCTGTCTGAAACCCTGTTTAGACAGAATTTGTTTTCAAGGTATTGTCTGTGTACCAATTGTCCAAGCAGGGTAACAAGGAATTAGACACTGAGGAAATGCAGACAACTGAGGCAGGGCTGCAGCAGTTCAAATGATTTTATTACCAATGTCAGAGGACAAAATGCTTAAAAGGGCTTACAGGATGATGAGGCAGGAAAGGGTCAAAACCAAAGAGGAGGCTAGTGATATAGGTAGGAGCACTCTGGAGGCTGGTGACAAGGCTAGAGATCAGGAAAGGCAACTGGCCCCAAGAAATTCAGCTACACGATAGGGCAGGCTGCTGAATAAGTTTTCGACATCTAGAAAACAGGACCCGTGCCCCGGTGTTTGGAGACCAGGACCGGAGGCTGGAAGATGAGTTGGTGGAGGGAAATGGTAGACTGCTGCAGCGGTCACCAATCTACTTTTCCCTAGCTCCCCCAACTCACCTTCCAGCCTCCGGTCCTGGTCTCCAAACACCAGGGCACCAGTGTACTGTCTCATTGGATTGCTGCAGCACAGGAACAGGTGTCAGCGGGACTGTCGACTGGAAAACTGGAGCAGGCGAAGGCCGTGCTACCGAACGGGGGACCTGACAGGGCTGATGCAACTTGGTGGTGCTGGTCAGTGAACAGGCCAAGGTGCTGGGCAGCTGAGATCCAGTGACATGGGCAGCCACGCTTCCTTTGAAGACTACACTGTAACCTGTGAAAATGGCATGGCGAATCCCTTCAAAAGACTGATCTCTTAACATCATCTTGTCTCCTTAGTTTCTCCTGGGGTTCAGGGTATCCTAGATCAGGACAGACAGGTAGCGAGCTAAAAAGGACAGGGTGGCTGCAGGCTCACAACTCCAATTCTGGACTGGATCAGGCCAAGGCGGCTGTGGCAGACAGACAGAGGCAGTAGTTTTGCAGCCTGGGCTGGAGGCTGAAGGCTAGCTGGCTATTAAATGTTCAGTTTTTCTGTCTATTTTAACACTTAAGTTAAATTCTGTCTGTCTGAAACCCTGTTTAGACAGAATTAGTTTTCAAGGTATTGTCTGTCTCACAATTGTCCAAGCAGGGTAACAAGGAACATGAGGAATTGATGCAGACAACTGAGGCAGGGCTGCAAACACAAGCTGGCACAGAGTGTGGGAAACACGCACACTAGGCCTGCACAATATGAGGAAAATCTCTGATGTCTGAGACGCTTCTTCAGTTCTGAGCTAAAGAAGTGTCTCAGATGAGAGGCAAAATGTCTTTGAGTATCTTCAACCAGTCCAGTTGCCCTTGATTTTAACCTTCCTTGGTTAGATGTTTTTATTTATTCATCTCCTTGTCCTTGATTTAATTTCCCACAAGCTTGTCTTCTTAATACAATTGATTCCAGTGAAATCGCTATGACCAGTGACGTAGCTGAGACGTATCTGGGATACTTGTTGAGTACAGTGTTCATAGAAATGATGGCCAGAGCTGTTTGTGGTTAAACCTTAGATGGTATTGAGTCATTTACTAACATTTTGATGATGGTCAGTATCTGCAAACACAAATACTTGAATATAGTGCATACAAAGGTACACACTGATTTACACACAGACAAATTAGTAAAGAGCATGAGTGTTTTAAATGTGTGCAGGTTAGGTTTAGTCAAATTTTCTGTGACTATGCTGTCCTAATCTAAAGCACCTAGATGTATTTATGAGTTAACTGTGTGCACATGACAGCTCAGTTAAGTTTTATGCTGTAGTTCTGTGGTAGTGTGTCAGTCATTAAAGTTAGCTCTTTACATAAAAACACCTCACTAACACTTCTTTGGGCTGACACCCTCTTTTTTTCCCCCTCTGTGTGTGTGTGTGTGCTAGGAAAAGACCAGTGCTCTGTCTCTTAGTAATGTAGCGGGAGTCTTCTACATCCTGGTTGGGGGTCTAGGTCTGGCCATGATGGTAGCACTGGTAGAGTTCTGCTACAAGAGTCGTGCAGAGGCAAAAAAAATGAAGGTACGTTATCTTTTAAAAAAACAGTTTCTAAAATTATCTTAAATACAATTGGTATTGTTGTAATATTATTGGTATTCCATTTGCTATGTAGGATTCTCACTAAAATAACTATCCAAATCTGAATTTATGTGCGGAGTAATGTTACAGACAAATGAACAAATGCCTTCCAGTCAGAAAATCAGAAAAACCAAAACCTGTGTGGTTAATGTGATGTGTATTGTAGTATTTCTACATGTGTGAAATTCATACCTCATATTAGTGAGTTCAGTGTGTAAGAAATAGCATGCCAATGTTTTTTTATGATACTATTTATACAGTAAGGTAACACTCAGCCACCAGTTTATTATGTAAACCTTTACGGTCATTTTCTGGTGCTGTTGAATTACATTGTGTTACACTTTAAACTGAGTTGTGTTTCTAATATTTAGTCCAACATATTTACGTCAATGAGCATATACACAGAAATGAACCCTCAGTATAACAGCAGCACAACCTACAGCCTCTAACATTACCATAAAGTTGAATCAACACCGCAGTAAAACCAAAACTGAACATAGTTCTTTCAGAAAGGTAGGATATATTGCAGGGCTGTTGGGCTAGACTGCAGTGGTTTTGGACGTAATAAACTAGTAACTGAGTGTGTATAGAAAATCTAAAATACTAGGAGTTGAAATCCAAATTCATGCCGGATGCAAGATGTCAGCAGTGCGCAAGCGCTACAGATGCATCAGTCTGTTCAATCCACATTGACTTCGATCACCTCTATGAAGTAGCTCTCCTCACAACAAACCAGCTGTCTTTTCAGCAGCACTGCTAAAAGGCAATGGCCAGTGTAAGCCACAGTGTCATTACAAGGCTAAATTAATGTCATAAAGATGCGCTACAGGGAAAAAACAAAACATGAAGCTTAAAAAACACATGATGTGGGCTTCATAATTAAGTCATTAAGTCTAGAACAGCTAACTTTTAGACATGTTACGCCTGGTTGGTCAACCACATGTAGACCTAACCAGACAATCCTTCACTTCCATTGCTCACTTGGATTTTTAGTATACATAGAGAGATGTTAACATTAGATAATACAGGGTTCAAGGTAGTTTATTTATCATTATACAACACAAGGTTTTATAATCAAAAGAATGTTTGTTGTCGCTTCATACTATAAAGTTAACAGATAGTAAAATGTATATTAAAATATGAACATATAAAATAAAACAATATATACAGTTGTTAATATACATGTAGTCTACATAGGCGACAAGTATACACCCAGAACATTCTGCAGTGTATTTTATGAATTTGCATCTGTGGTGAATGTGAACTGCAGCAACAAAATGATAAAATGGGTTTATACATGGTGTCCATTTTCACTGTATATAATCTATTATTCAATTAAAGATTCTTGATCCTTCGCCAGTGACTCCTGGTTGATGACATTATCCCCTTCCCAGTTTATGCTGTGAGCTGTGACCGCTGATGTTGTCTGTTTTTGGTGTTCATTTCGTCTCTTATTTAGGGTCCCTGCTGTTTCACCGATATAGTTTCCCCACAGCTTTCATGTGTGATGTCACAATGTTTTCATACACCACACCAGCATTCCTGTCAAGGGGGGGGGGTTGTATTCAAGGTGTACCAGTAATTTTAAGGTTCATTCAGCCATTCACCCATGAATGAGAAGAAAAATTCCGTTTTAGGTGTCTGAGGCTGGATCAGAACCTGGCAGTGTGTCTGAGCCTGCCCAAGCAAACAAATGTGTGTTAACCACCTGTTGAAGCCCTGTTTAGCAATGCTCTTGGCTTCTCGTCTGGCTCAGACTTGCATCAGGGTGATTGTACCCTGTTTTAATTGCTCACAGTTCTAGTAATTATTTTCAATTATTTTCCACCATGTAAAACTAGTTGTGAAACCTAAGCTAAGTCAAAGTTGGAAAAGTGAAATTGTCTGGGTAGGTATGAGAGTGAACTCAATGAACAAGTGATCCAGGTCAGCCATAAGTTTAAAAAGCAAAAGCAAACAAGCTTTTGTTCTTAATTTATAAACTGTACACCACACATTCAAATGTGTAAATGTTTTTTTTTTTTTGATTATAGCTTTTTTAGAGGTTGTACATTCCTTCTGCAGGCGGTTAGTGCTGTGCTCTGTGAGTAACAGTTAGGCAATGTGATTGTTTTATGGGTTTGCTTTTAGGGTTGGGGTTGAGAGGCAGTATTGCTACCCAACAGATGTGTCATATGAATATGATACAGGCCAACTCAGGCGAAACCAAGGAGAGGACGGGTGCTTTATATCCACATATTCGGTAGATTATATCACACTCACTTATTCCCATGACATTTTATTTGCAAATTTGCAAATCACCCATTGGGCATATGGTTGATTTTCTACTTTGACACACATTTTGCCTGTGCAGTATGAATAGCTGATTTACTATGCAAAACGTGGTGTAAATCAATCAGTAGGGCATGTAGTAAAACTGACTACTCACTAACTAACTCACCAATACACATTTCATGTTTCACCATATTTGGTCACAGCCACTATGTGATTCAGATTTGGTATATCACAGTTGATTTATGAATTTATTTTAAAACAGAATATTTCATTCATGGTCTTATGGTGGTCCTGGTGGAGTTTCTGTGGATGACACAAAAATAAAAGATCTTTAAAATGTAATTTGCGATCTGGTGCTGCCTTCTGTTGAATATGTCTGTACTTTTTGAAGTTCATTGCAGGTCATCATATCTTCTGAGTACTATCTTGGGCTGTTAAGAGCCTGCACCTTCATGTGGCCATGCACGTTCTATTGCGGGTTTGAATCCTGGGCATTGAGCTCAAGACTGTTATGCTCAATTTACCTCTATGTTAGTTTTGCAGTATAATACCTAGTGATATTACATCTCTGCGAGGTGTAAATTGCTGTAAGAGCTGCAAAAGCATTACCTTATTTGCATTTGACTTGCAATTGTTCATGTGTAAAACTGTTACTTGATAACATAGCAGATATAGCATATGTCATAAATTGCCCAAATTAATTTTTCTACTGGGTTTTCCTTCTCCCCTCCTCTTTGCCTCACAGTCTCATGATCTCACGGTCAAATGGTTAATGGTCTTGATTACATGCCAATGAATGACATAGTGGTAGCTTCTGCTTTCTTACTCTTAAGAAGAGTCTGCTGTTAAAGCAGAATAACTGTTAAATGATGAATGTAAAAAGTATTTTAAAAAACTAATGTGTATTTTCATTTGTTTGGCTGTATCGATGTGTAAGTTAATTTTAAAGACACTGTAATTAAAGCCTGGGTGCAACAATCAAGATCTCTAATCATGGTCTCACCATAGTCTCATGCCACCAAAAAATATGGCCAAATTTGAAATGTAGATTCATGAGTTCATTTAAAGACAACATGTTACAGCACCCTTTGTTTGGGTTTGTCAAATGTGGAACGATAAATAAGCTGCTTATACTGAAAATGCCTATTAAATCTTGTACAATTTGGATCACTGAGATACAGTGTTATTCTAAATATAACTGTTACAAACAAATCTGCGGCTCACAGATCCAGACCCCACAGCTCCACAGCCACAAACACCTGAGACTACAGGAGAGGGAAGAAGTTGAGTTAGTAACATAAATTAATGTGATAAGAATGCATACAAAAGGAATTGCAATATCCTAGAAGAAACAAATGTGTGGACTAGTTTTTTCGCATCATTTTGAAATATGCCTGTGCTCCCTGATGGGTTGAAGATGGAGTGATAGGGCTGTTTCACCTTTCACTGCTGGTGCAGTGATCTTGTCACCTGTGCTACTAAGCAAAGTAAATTACAGTAACAACCCAATCATTTATAAATACGCATTTGGAAACAAATTAAGAAACCTTTTAAACTCAGCACAATGTCCCTCTATGGTATCTACTCATAATTCATTTCCACTTCCTAATCTGCACCTTCCAGTTTTGATGAATGGTATGAAATGGGAACATATAGTGTTGGCAACCTTTACCTGGGAGGGATGTTTGCATCCTTCCAACAGTTCCAAGAAAAATATGCTCTCCCACAACAGGACTACTGTGATGCTGATTCCCAGGAACCTAAAACTGTTAACCTGCTATACCTCAGTTCCACTGAGTTAGTAAGAAGCGTGTGTCCTTGCCGACTTTTACCTAAAATCAATAATTAGCTCCTTGGTTTTGCTGACATTGAGCAGTAGGTTTTCTCTGTGCACCACACAGCAATATTATCAATTTCCTATCTCTCATTATTGTTTGAAATATGGCCGACGATGGTGGTGTCGTCCACAAACTTCACAACAGAGTCTCTCCATGTCGGGGGATGCAGTTGGTGCACAGCGTGACAGGAGGGGTCTGAGCACACAGCCCTGTGGGGCTCTGGTGGTCAACACTCGAAAATGAGGTGTGCAAGCCAATCCAAACTATCTGTATCTGCTGATCAGTTTCATGGTGAGATTGTGTTGAACGCTGAGCTGAAATCCACAAACAGCATTCTGATGTAGGTGTTGTTGTTCTCAAGGTGTGTGAGGGCTGAGTGGAGGGCAGTGGAGATCTGTTGGTTCTAAAAGCAAACTGGTGAGGGCCCAGGCTGGCTGGGATGTTGACCCAATTTCTCAAAGTACTTCATCCTAATGGGGGTGCCACAGGGCGCTCAGACATGACACTGCAGACTTTTTACACAGACAATGGTGGCTGTCTTGATGCTGGTGGGAACCCCCTTTGCCTTCAGAACTGCCTTCGTGGCATACTTTCAGCAAGGTTGTTGAAACATTCCTCAGAGACTTTGGTCCATATTGACATAATAGCACATTGCAGTAACTGCAGAAATGTCGGCTGCGCATCCATGACATGAATCTTCCTTTCCACCACATCCCAAAGAGGCTCTATTGGATTGAGATCTGGTGACTGTGGAGCCCACTGGAGTACAGTGAACTCATTGTCATGTTTAAGGAACCAGTTTGAGACGATTTGAGCTTGGTGACATGATGCATTATCCTGCTGGAAGAAGCCATCAGAAGATGGTACACTGTGGTCATAAAGATGGACATCGTCAGCAACAAGCTGTCATGTTTAAATAATCAGTTGGCACTAAGTGTGCCAAGAAAATATCCCCCACACCATTCCACCCCCACCACCAGTCTGAACTGTTGATACAAGGTAGAATGGATCCATGCTTTCATGTTGTTTATGCAAATTCTGATCCTACCATTTGAATTTTGAACTGAAATCGAGACTCATCAGACTAGGCAACATTTTTCCAATCTCTATTGTCTAATTTTGGTGAGCCTGCACGAACTGTAGCGTCAGATTCCTGTTCTTAGCTGACAGGAGCCACATCCGGTGTGGTCTTCTACTGTTGTTGCCCATCTGCTTCAAGGTTTGACTTATTGTGTGTTCAGAGATGGAATTCTGCATACCTTGGTTGTACCGAGTGCTTGTTTGAGTTACTACCTTTCTGTCATCTCGAACCAGTCTCCTCTGACCTCTGATATCAACAAGGCATTTTCGGCCACACACCTGCCGCTCACTGGAGATTTTCTCTTTTTCGGACCATTCTCTGTAAACCCTAGAGATGGTTGTGCGTGAAAATCCCAGTAGATCAGCAGTTTCTGAAATTCTCAGACCAGCCCATCTGGTAACAACAACCATGCCACGTTCAAAGTCACTTAAATTCCCTTTGTCTCCCATTCTGATGCTCCGTTTGAACTTCAGCAAGTTCAAACGGCCAAGCCATGTACATCACGTGTATTACATAAACATATGGAAGAAACACAATTCTTGTCAAAAGTCTCTTTAATATTATATATAATTGTAAATTATGTTACACTGTAAGTCAATAAGCATTCCCAGATATTTTCCAACTCCCGACAGGGTTTTTGTAGAAATATTATACTGGGGATAAACTTGACCAGTTCTGAGAGAAAAAAAGGCCTACAAGATCAATATAATCTGAAAAAAAAGCTAAGACGTAGAAATATAATCAGGGATTTTTAATTCACACACAGATGAGAGCAATGTATTTCTCTGAGCTGAACCTGATGAAGAGCTAAATCTCGAGTAAAAGTACTTTTTTGTTTACTGGGTCTGTCTGTCCTATCAGCCTTCCCTGCTACGTGATCCCACTCATCAATCCAAGACAAATGGATGCACATCATACAAAGTTGATTACTCATCTTTAATTTAAGTTTTCTGGCACCAAATACACTTGTCAACTCACCTTCAATCATGATATTTTTGTGGTGGAGGACTTTGTTTGGCCCAGTAATGCTGCTGGCTGTGTTGTTTGGCTTAATAGCCATTGGTGGGATCTCCTATGGCAATTTGGTCCAGACTAAATATAATTCACTGGAATGTACAGGCAAGCAACATCTGCGGACTGGGACCTCTTCTTGGAGTGGAGATGTGGATGGTAGCTATGTCTGTGTCAACCCAAAGAAGTTACATGGGCCCTGTCTCATTTGGGCCAGCCACTTGCAAAGCTAAATTGGGTGGCAGGTAAAGATGCTTTCCCCAGGCTGAAAAAAACTTACTCCTGAGATGTGGAATCTAGCAAGCAATAATTAATGATCTTTATCAACACATACTGTTGCTATTGCTACTAGGGCTGACCCCAAATAGTCAAAGATTTGTTGCTTCGATGGGCGGAGCCTGATTCGACTGTCAATCTCACAGTCGAAGCTTCGCAACGACATTTTGGCGATATGGGGGTGCTCAATGTCTGATTTTACATAGAACTACCAGTTTTCTCCCCATAACTTAATATACAGCCTATTACAATATACATTTCAACGTTTAATGCTGTAAATAAACATGTAAAAAGAAAAGAAACTTCCAATAAATGTTTTTAAAATGCGTAAATAAATCCAAAATTGTAACCCTAACCCTGGGTCGTCAGTGCGCATGTGTAGGTGTAGCGTGAATGTGTGTAGTGGCAGGAGGAACACTTACTGAAGAGACGAGCTCCAGCTGCACTGGTGTTGTGCCGAGTTATTCGCACCTCGCGGAACTTTCGCATAATTTATCACCGTTGATGAACCCCACAAAGATTATTATATCGTTTTTAAACAGCCGCTGCTTGAAATAGATACGCAAGGAACCGCGACATGCATAAATTTGTGCAGCCCGGCAAAACCTCTTCATAAGACCAGTGAATGGCAGGGGTGAGAGAGAGAGAGAAAATGATCAACAATATGCCTCAGTTTAGCTTCGGCTCGCAATCGCCATGCACAAAAACACACATGATTCAGTCGACTATAGGTAGGACTTGACGATTCTGATTCGACTATGTAAATCAATCCTTAGTCGGGGACAGCCCTACTATTTACTGTAAAAAATAACAAAAACATTTTTACGTGTAAACAGACCTCAAAAGGCCATTCTGTTTTTTGCAGTTACTACTATTGGTGCTCTCAATACGCAAAATATTGTTGTCACTTGAATTAGTGATAATAACAGTCCCACAGCTCAAGAGTCACTGTTGTTCCATTAGCACAATCAGTATAGTAATAACAATGACTTTATTTTTGTTTTAAAAAGGTGGCAGCCAACACCTTGTCGTCCCCCCAGCACACAGGAAACTACACACACACTCTGTCTTCTCCTCAACATGCCCCCAACTTCAACTTGCTGTCCCCCAGCCACCAGCCAAACTACGCCACCTATAAAGAGGGCTACAACGTTTACGGCATTGAAAGCGTCAAGATCTAACACGGGTAGGAGAGTGATGATTGATGGCTAAAACTTTCCTCACCTCACAGTCATAGACTTTGATTAGACAATTAACTGTTAATTGTTAACTGTTCATATCATCAAACAACTACTCAAATAAACTTATGGTGTTGTACAGCAGCTTCAATGGCAAAGTTTTTTTTAACCTTCATGATTCCTCTTCACTCGTCTTTGTACGTTGTTAAGCAACAATCAGTGAAACAAAGCATTTCCTGAGATAAAACAGTATTAAAAAGTGAAACTGAGCGAAACAGAGAATAAGAAGTATGATTTGACTAGATTATATAGAAAATGGTTAGCCATGGATTGAAAAATGAGATCTATTATTTAAAAGAGAAATAAGTAAGTCTACCACTGCAATGACCATTAAGGCATTGGAAAGTTCACACCAAACAAATGAAATGAAACTTATCAGCCCAGCCCTGATAACAGTATATTTCATTAACATGCAGGTAATTTGTTTGCTTATTAAATCATCATAATAATGAGACAAAGTTGCCATTGAGGTTGGCTGGCATTGAGTGGTATAATGTTCAGGACACGATGTGAATGCAGCAGTTGTTCTT